AGCTTGTTGGCATATAGGTTTTCATAGTAGTCTTTAATAATTCTTTGTATTTCTGTGGAGTCTGTCGTGATTTTTCCATTCTCATTTCTGATTATGTTGATTTGTGTTGATTCTCTTTTTCTCTTAATAAGTTGGGCTAGAGGCTTATCTATTTTGTTTATTTTCTCAAAGAACCAGCTCTTGGTTTCATTGATTTTTGCTATTGTTTTATTCTTCTCAATTTTTTTTATTTCTTCTCTTGAAATTTTTTTTTTCTTTCTCAGGGAGGGGCTTTTTATTTCATGGAGCATGTACCAGCTGAGTGTTCAACCTGGAATTACTTCTGGCAGCAGGTCCTGGATCCTGCCTGGAACCTTCTGTTTGATGGGTGCAACCTGACCAGAGAGAGCTGGAAGGCCCTGGAACAGGCCAGCTCTTCCAAGCTGCAGCTGCGGCACCTACAGGCCCCTCTGTCCTGCCAGCTGATACACCCACACATCTGTGGATATGCTTTGAAATAGTGTGAGTGGGGAGCAGAGAGCTGAATGTGTTGAATATTTTAAGGCCTCAGTTTTACACTTAAAATAATAGTTGGGAGAAGGGAGACATTTTTTAGTTCATCCCTTAAAGTTTTTGTTGTTCTATTTAGCCTTTTTTATTGTCTCCCAAAGAATCTCAAACAAAATGAAAAAAAAACAGCTTTGAACTCCCCCTTAAAAGGAAACAGTGGGCTTTCATAATTGAAGTCTACCATTATCCCCAAACCTTAGTTTATTCAGTGACTTCAAAATTTTTCCAACTGTCTTATCTAAATTGTTATTCACAGATTTTAATCTCACCCCCTGTTTGAGAGCTTGGCATTAACAAGCAGTTAAATCACTTGAAAGAAAACTTTGAAAATGGAGAAGTAAAAAGACCTTAATACTTCAGAACTGAGTAAGGGAATACTAACTAATTGAAAATCCAAATCTAAATAGCACAGATTTTCTGAAAAAGAAATCTGAATCTATCTGCTGTCTTAGTATCACTGGGCTGGCTTTCAAAGTAACATAGGAGAATGCCACACCCTGGCCTGCCCAGCTTTGTTGTGTCTTTTATTACATATTCCACCAAAGTTTGTTTTCCTGCATTCTGGTTTTCAGTTTTTAAGATGAAGATTGTACTTGGCACTTTAGCATATCCTAACATATCTGAGGCAGTTAAAGTTCTTGGGTTCATTCCCCTCATTATCTAGCATATACTTTGCTGACTAGTAAATTGCAGGCAAAGAAAGGTCCATTGTAATTAAGAAAGCCTTGCATATTAGGTATGCTAGGTAAGAGCCCCTAAACACCAGGCAGACTGAGTCTGTAAAGAAGTAGATAGATATTTTTTTGGTTTATTCTGATCAAATTTCCATTCCTGTTCCAAGATGATTTCTTTGTTCCTTGCAATCATGGGATACTCTGAAAATCACCACAAGTACTTTGAGAATGAGGTTTAGGTTGGTCAGTCAGAGGGTTCCAGAATATTTTCAGCAGCAGTTTGTAGTATTTTAATAAGTTTAGTATATTTTCTAAGATGAATTTTCAAAGAGACTATTTTAAACATGAAATCAATAAAGTCATATGCATTTTAGGAATGAAAAACAATGGTTTTTATATCTTTGCTATCTTGGTTTCATTTTTCTTATTGTCCCTGGGAGGGCTTTCCTTCATTGTGGAAAATTAAGCTTTTTGAACACAAAGATTTTTCTTTCTACAGTCAGGTAACTAAACACAGCTAGTAGATTTTGGAAAACACAATTTTGGAAGGATCAGGAAGGGTTTTGAAAAGTTCAAGTCCAAAGACCCCATTTATGAAATCCATAGAGCAAAAAGGAAACTTGCTATTCTCTCTTGAACATGAAAATAATAGTTATGGTGAGTTAGGATCTTTGCCTTCTGAGCTATGGAACATGAATCCCCTCCCTCTACAGCCTTCCCAAAGTAGGAACCTTCCCCATCTACCTCCTCCATCTATCCACCTTGCTACTGGGTAGGTCAGTCTAGTGATGGAGAGATATGAAAAGCCTCAGGTTAACATGGTGAAATGTCTGGGCATGCTGGAAATAAATACCAAAGCACAAAGCACATTCCTATCAATTCCGTCTCATCTAAGTGGTGTGGGAAATATCATCCTCACTTCCTATAGACAAAACTGAGGTGCAGAGAAGTAAATAAATGAATTTTCTTAACATTGCATAAGTTACTGAGAAAGTCTTAGGAGCCCTAATTCCCCAAACCACAAACTTGGCTTGACAATCATCGCTGCTGCATCACCTTCTCACTGCTTCCCCCCACCCCTACCCAGAAAATACAGTTTTATGCTCATTCCAAGAGCCTGTGAAAGTGACCTAAGCCTATGCAAAATGGAAACTGAAAAAGGGCGAAATATGTCCAACGCGTTTAAGGTCCTGTGTTGGTTAGCATCCTTAGATTGCAAATGACAAAACTCCCAACCCAAAAAGGCTTAAACAGGAAAAGGACTTAACTGACTCAAATTAGTGAGAAGCATAGGGGCAGAAATCCTTGGGCACACAGCTTGGACAGGATAATGTTATCAGGAGCCAGACAGTGTCTAGGGACACATCTGCCTTCCTCTCTGTTCTCGGCATCCAGTGGTGAGTCTCCGGAAATTGTGCCCATCTTCATGCTTCCAGGGCCCAAAGTCTGTTGGAAAGATCAAATCCTCTCTTGCAAAAACTCCAACTAAAGTTCTGGATTGAATCTCAGTTGGTCTTATGGGCAATACTGGGTCACAAGCCCATCCCTGAACCAATTACAATGTTCCAATGGAACCGATTATGCTGCTTGGCTCAAGTACAGGTCACGGTGCTTCATCCCTGGGGCCGAGCACACCCTGACCACAGGCACTGCGACAAGGAAAGCTGCATGACCTCCAAACAAAAACAGCCTGTGACTGGGGAACGCAGGGGTGGATGCTGGGAAGGCACACAACAAATGACAATTATGAGTACCCCACCACACTGATCACACCCTTTTAGCCTGCCTTTGGTAGATCGCACAGCACTGGGCTATGAACTCTGGCTTCCCAGTGGATAGCTGCACACAGTGGGGAAACTCAGAGGCAGAACCATGGTGGCTTGGGTGTCAACGTGACCTAGGTCAAGTCCTGGTTGTGTCATTCACTCACAGTGTGACCTTGGGCAAGTTACTTCTGAACGAATCAGTTTCCTCAGCTCTTAAGGGGGATAATATCTATCTGAACGGTTACTGTGAGGAGTCAATAAATGAAGAACTTGGTAACTTAATAAATGTGGGACTTCATTCAACAGATATGTGTTGAGTGCCTCCTGCATATTCTGCTCTTGGTGCTTGGCTGAGAGCCCTGAATAAGCCAGCCTTGGTCCCTGCCCTCACGTGAAAAATGCTATCTGTGAGGGGGAGGGGCAGGGTGCCAGGAGAAGCGAGTCTCACCTAGGGGAGGAGGGCCAGAGGCTTCCTTGAGGAAGTGACATTTGAGCTGAATTCCAGAGAATGAATGTATTATTTCAGCCTAATGAAACAGCTTGTGCCACAGACAAGTAAAAGCAAGAAATACAGTATGTGTACGTAACTGCAAGCAAGCAAACAAGCGGAGAGGGCTGGCCAAGAGCCTGAGGGGCCGATCTGGGGATGGTTGTTACCATCAACTTTAAGCCCATGAGCCCAACACTTAATTTAATGGCTAACAAAAAATCTCACTAAGATTTCTTATATCTATATTATAAAAGATTCTGTTTCTAAATTCTAATATTCAAATTGTTTTTCCTGAATGCCTACATATTTCATACTTGAATGGAAAGTGAAGCAAACATTGCATAATAGTACCTTTTGTTCTCTTGACCCTTACATAAGTCTTTCCCTTTGGTATTGCTTTAGGAAACAGAATCAACAACTAAAAATCCAGTTCCTGTTAATCTAAGGCAACTGAGAGTATAATGAATCAAGCAGACTAATGTCAACAAAAGCAAAAAATATAACTGCTCAGTAAATGTCACTTTACTTATCTCAATATTTAAAACTAAGAGCCTTCAGGCTACATTAAGAATAATTAGAATTCTCTAAGCCAGGGAATGGCCAGAGAATTGAAGCAGAGGTCATGTTATACTAAAGGCAAATGAAATGAACACAGAATAACCAATGTTCCCATTTTCTACCTTAGTTTTAAAAAAAAGGTAATATACTGATCAAGCAAGGTATTATTTTTTTTAAGAGACTATTTGGAACCTATAGAGAACTACATGGGAACAGGGAAAATTACCCTTCAAAACTCACCATTCCAAAAGTAAACATCTGTCACGTGCACTCAGGCTCAGCCTTCTCAATCTTTAAAACGTGTCTGGCATTAATGACACCTTCTCCTGCAGAGATCCTTATACTCCATGACTGAGCCAGCGACTGCCGGTTTATACAGAGTAGGGTGAGGGCCTCCGGGAGAAGCAAAACAGGATAATTATGGTCAATGTAACAATGTGCAGAGAAGCTCCTACCGAAACCCTCTGTGTTAAACATTAAGCAAAGTCAGAATCCCACAAATTCTTTAGGAGAGAAATACTAAATTAGGAAAGCAGGCAATTTTCAGTGGGATTGGTTAAAACAAAAAAGGCAGCATTCAGGCTGGGACCAATAATAACTAAACACTCAGTTAAACCTAAAGATATGAACCCCTAGACAATGCCCAACTCTCTTGTCCCCTCCTGGTGCACACCAGGAGGTCTGTCCTCTCACTTTATCTCTAAATAAAAGCCTCTCCCTTGCTTTCCTACCTTGAGTGCTTCCAAAGTTCATTCTTCTACTCCACGAACAAGAACTCCAGCATCAACTCAGTAGTTAATAATAAAGGTTTATTACATGCCTTCCTTACACCAGCCACTACTTTACACAGTTCATATAGTATACAAACCTCTAGAAGGCAGGTAGAAGTGTCTGAAAATGACAATGAGAAAGCAGACCAATGGATATTCAGTCACGTGCCAAAAGCCACACAGTGAGTGGCCACACTGGTGTTCCCAGTGTTTATCTGACTCCGAAGCCCAAGCCTCCCCACAACACTGTTACATTTCTCAAGGTCTTCTGGATCCAAGTCCCTGTAATTCTTTCTCCTCCTTCCTTAACCGCTTCACTGTGAATGGTCCCCTAAGACTCATTTGGCCCGTGTTCAATCCCTTGAGCCTTTCTTAGACTCTAAGTTCATGAACCATCGCTTGTGTGCAAAAGATTCCTAAAACTCACACTCTTGCCATCTCTTTGATATTTAGAATTTAGCATATCAAAACCAGAATTCATTGTGTCCTTCCCTAAATAAACAACACTTTCCAACTTCCTCAATACCTATGAGTACTTCCCAAGGACCAGATAAAGTGATGCCCTTCTAGAAAGCATTCACTGGCTGTCTCAAGCTTCATCTCTAAGAAATCTCGTAGCACTCACTAATAGCCACTGGTGTAATTTTACATCACCAGTCTCTTCTTCCTTTCTTCAACATGGCAAACACAGTG